CAGCCCCAATATTCCTTACCAACTATGGCCGTCTACACTACGACGCATCGCAGCATTCGTAACTGTTGCATCTGTACTTGTCAACTCAATGGTCCTCACCATGCGGTGCCTCACTGTTTTCTTATTAATGCTTGATTATTACTCTCTTCGTTTAGACTGTGTTAAAGTTGAATATTTTGTTATACAAACTGTTCAATACACAAACACTAGAACCCTACTACTTGTACCAAATACAACAATATAGCTCTAAGCTGTTCCTTACATCAAAAGCAAAAGTTACAAGATTAGGGTTCTGTAAATAAAGTTCCACTCCACATCCATCACCATATAGCCTAAATTATTGATATTATTACATCAACAAAATCAAGTAATTTTAGGTGGAGCTCGAATTCACTTAAGCGGCAATTTTTTGTTTAGTGTGTTTTAAAAAGGGACGCTAGTTAGTGACAAGCGTCGTCTTTTAAAAATCAACCCAACGCTAAAAGTGTATAAGATGAGATATCACGATAGTTTTGTTTTTAAAAAACTGTCTTCTTTTAAAACACAACGATGGTTTTAAGATGCACCGCCGTCTATTTCATGTCGTGATTTAACTATTTTGTAGTAGTGTTGGCTTGGAACTCTTACGCCCATATAATAAGAAGACGGTGATTAAGAGAGTGTGTTCATCAGATGAGAGAGAGGAAGATTTTAGGTATTTAACCATTCAAAATTTATTAGATATAGTTATTTCAATTATATGCAGTATAATGTTTTCTAGTTTTTTTTTTAATAGCAAATTTAGTCTTGTCTTGTATTTTTGTAATGGGATGAGACGAGATGGGAACTTATCCCCAACCAAGTACCGGGACCCGATTTGAGTATTATGGGAATTGAGGCGGGAATGGGAAAAAAAACTTAATGACAAAGGGGAATACGCAGCCATAATTCGACCCATTTTCATTCCTACTTTGAATATATATATATATATATATATAGAGTACTAGTCGTTGTTATTGTTAAGGATCAAGAGATTGGGTCCAACACATTTGCGCCATTATAGGAGCAAACCAACCAGAAATTAAATTAATACAAACGGAATGAGCAACGAAGTTGCTGTGCCTTTGCTTGATGTTGAAGCCCCCCCTTATTTCCGTCCTTCCTTCCTAACAAATTATATTGAATTTATTAAATTGTTTCGAAACTTCTACGATCCATTCAACTTGTTCTACATGACAAGTTTTAAAGTATAAATTATATTCATTAATATATTAACAAAGCATTGACTTAGATTCATCAATAGGCTACTTCCTCCACATTTCAAATCAAAGTATCTTACATGTGTCCATCAATCCGCTTTACTTTTTTTTTTTCCTTAATTTTTTTCCCTTTTGGTGTGCTAAAATTATATGACCGGATAGGATTCATAATCCAGTCAATTAAGGCCAAAAAATTATTATAGAATTAAGGCCAAAAAATTAACTGCATAAACCACAATTTAAATACGACAAGCATTCTACGAATCTGACACATGAGGTCAAAACTGACACATGTATTGCCATTTATAGGCTATGTTAATCTAATGGAGAAGCTATAAAAGCATAAATAACCTATATAAACACCTATAGGTTATAGAACCCTAATCAACTTACTGATAGCATCAAGGGAAGCCAAGAAGACCTGTCCGGGAACTATGGCTAAGAATGCATTCCCTACTTGGGATTTAACCAAAAGTCCTATACTGATCAAATCATAATACCAATCCCATCAAGCATAGATTTGCTAAGCTTTGATGCCATCTTTGACAACTACTGACACTGTTAGCAAAATAAAGTTGAAAGAATTGATAAGAAAAAATAAAATTAATGTGTTATAACTTATAACCATAAGAACTTTTAAAAGAAATTCATATAGTCTTCAGGGGAACCTTTCAAATTGATTCAGTATGAAATCTAACATAAAATAAACCTAACCTCCAACATAAAATACCATTTCGTATGAGATTTCCTTCCCTGTTTCTGCTTCATACCAAAGAAAAGATATCAAGAGAAATATCATTTTAAGCACAACTATGAAGGAAGAAACACATTCATTATAAGGTATACCATAAGTAATCCTAAAATTAAGGATTTAAAGTAACAAATTTACAATAAAGATTTAATAAATGAAAAAAGTAGAAACTTAAAATGGAACCAAGTGAAAGCAGAGAAAATTACCAAAGGCTACGGTGGAGCATAAAGCATTAGCCAAAATACAGACGCAAACAAGAATCTTAATCAATTCCACATAATAGAGGTGGTGTTCAAACTTAGAAAGAGAGAAGAATTACAATTCAGATAATAGAGGTGTTAGATGCCCATTTTTACTTTTCCTTCCTCTTCCTCTGTTTCCCAAGAAAACAAAAATAAACAGAATCAGCCAAATATCACCACAAAGTTGATATAGATACAAATTTTTATTGAGGAGTTGGGTTTAATCCTCAATTTTGGCGGCTTTGATCCTAGTCTTTTGACTTTTGTGCCATATAAAATTACATTCATTTTTTAATATTTAATGATGTAATCTTTTTGTTATTTTATTTTTAAAATTATTTTTTGTTCCAACTCCAACTGTTATTAATATAATTGACATCCTGATACATCGGCAGATCCAGGATTCTCGAGCCAAGGGGTCTCAATGTATAAGTGTCAAAAATTCTCTTACGCAATAGCTGATGCTTTGCCCCAGTTCACTAAAAAAGCACATTAAGTTACTTTTTAAGATTTCGAAATGATATAATAATTCCTTTCTTCGGATCCTTATCATACGTTGGTTGCTTTTTAAGTCTTTTATTCCTTTCTTCTTATCTTCTTCTCCATTATTTTATTTCCTTCTTCAGCCAAAGGGTAAGGGGAGTTGGCATGAGTAAGAATTTAATGGAAATTTTGACTTATATGTTAACTTTGGTTTTGAAACTTTTAATTGGTTTATGTTTGACGCAGGGTTGGGAGGTGAAGAAAGAATTGGGAAATAATTTATAGAAAAGTTGATATAGATCTAAATTTTCATTGAGAAGTTGGGTTTAATCCACAGATTTGGTGACTTTGGTAGAAGTTCTTTGACTTTTATGCCACATAGAATTATATTCTTTTTTTAATATTTTATAATGTAATTTTTTTATTTTTTATTTTTTATTAAAATAATTTATTGTTCCAGTGTTGTCCCTTATGCCTTGAATTGGATAATAGTAATTTATGTGATAATAATTAGCCATTTATATATAACGCTTGTCATTGAATAGAAAAGGAAAATATCGCCAAAAATCAGGTTGTTACAAACTATTATACATTGAAAAAAAAAGAAAAAAAAGAAAAAAAAAAAGGGACCAGAGCATTTGATTGTGGATTTTTTAGTTTTTATTAAAATACTTATAGGCTAATTTTTATTTGGCTGCTTGACGACCAGAGCATTTTATTGTAGAAGGTCATGCCCAGACCCTTTTTTTGGCGACCAGAGCTTCGTTTTGGGGTGCTTGGCGGATGACTGCAGGTCTATTTTGGCAAAATTTCCTCGAGCCTCTATTTTACATGTTTTTAGGGAAGCAAATACAGTAGCACATCGTTCAGCACATGAGCTATAGGTAACAATTTTTATTTTGTTCACCCTATGGTAAATGTTTATTACATACTCTTGTACAGTGGCGGAGCCACCCCTAGACCTGGAGTGGCCCTGGCCCCCCCATATTTTTACCACTCTTCTATTATATTATATATAATATATAGAATTTGTAATAAACAACTTAGAATTGAAGTTAAAATGTCATCTAAAACAAATTAGATATGACTTAATTAGAAATATTTAGCTCTAAACATGTAAGTATTGAATATTTAAGTGTTTTATATACTTATATTTTCTATTTCGGCCCCCCTAACTTTACAATTCTAGCTCCGCCCCTGCTCTTGTAGATACATTATCCTATGGTGTAGGTATATTGTTCTACTACCTATTGCGTAAGTACATATGTGTTTTTTCATATTTTCGACAATGTATAATAATATTTTATTGACCTTTTTTTTTTATAGGTAACATATAGGTTTTATTTGTCTATTTTTGTGTCTAACTTATCGGTAGTCTTTTAATTTATGTTTATGACTTATAGGTAACACGATTTATCACTAAGTTTTTTCATGGGTACTAGCCTGAATAATTGGTATAATATGTGGGTTTTTACTTTCATTAATTAAATTGTATTTTATCCATAAATTAGGTAATATTTTCAAGGAAAGAATTCAAAATTTAAAATCTGAAATTCAATTACGAGGAAATAATGCATTAAATTTAGATTTTCGATGTGTTTTCCTTATTTATCCTAATGAGTAAAATCGACACAACAAAAAATTAATAAAGGTCAAAGGACCTACATCTAAAACCCAAAACGCGTGGACTAAACCGAATGATAACTACTCGTTTTGGACCTAGATCTAAGAAAGTTGATATGGATCCAAATTTTTATTGAGGAGTTGGATTTAATCCTCGGAATTAGTGGTTTTGATCCAAGTCCTTTGACTTTTGTGACATATAGAATTACATTCATTTTTTAATATTTAATGATGTAATCTTTTTATTATTTGATTTTTAAAATTATTTTTTGTTCCAATGTTGCCCCTTATAACTTGAATTAGGAGTCATTTATGTCATATTGCCAATTGCCAATTGTCTATTGCCTATTGCACAGGTATATGTGTGTGTATTTCATATTTTTGACAATGTGTAATAGTATTTTACGTACCTTTTTTCATAGGTAACATACAATTTTATTTTGTCTATTTTTGTATTTGACTTATAGGTAATCTTCTAAATATTTTTCATTGCTAATAATAACATTATTTACCTGTACGTCATGTACATAATTTAATGTGGGTACTTGTCTGATCGATTGGTATAATATGTGGTTCTTTACTTTTTATTAATTAAATTGTATTTTATCCACATATTAAGAATATTATCAAGAAAAAAATTCAAATTTATCCAAACTCTTCAATACTTGATGCACAATCCAAGTCCTGCAAGCTACATTGGTATTTGTTATGGGTTGCCATAAAAGGAAATTTTCATTCTTAAGAGTCAGTATGTACAAATCTATAAATGCATTGCAAAACTTCCACAAATATCAAACCAAATTGTGGCACATCCCATTTCAGCTCATAAATCGTCAAATAAGAAAATCTAAAATACGCATACTACCAAATTGTGACACATTCATATCATATAAATTGATACAGAAAACATACCGGGCATTTAGAGGGGATGCCTTTGACGCAGCCTCCTTCACATCTGTTACCAAAGCCAAACATCAAATACAAAATGCGGTTCAATTGATTGAAACAAAATTAGAAAAAAGCGAAATAAAAGAGTGACGCTTTGGGGTCAAAGGTGAGACCTTTGACAACAAATTGAATTTCGCCAGGAGGAGAGTTGAGGAGGAATCACTTCCACACCACAAAACAACATTTACTACATTAGACACTGAAGAATAATCAAAATGGGTTTTTCCAACAAAAAAAAACTTCATTCGTTTTTTCCCCCCAACATTTCAACTTTCCACGACTAGGGGTGGCAATGGGTCGAATCGGGGGTGGGCATGTCATTCTCATCCCCATCCCTGTTAAGTTTTTTTTTCCCTCATCCCCGCCTTCATACCCGTAATATTCATATTGGGGATTCCCCATCCCTACCTTCGTTGGGGAATGGGTTCCCCGATCCGCCCCATTACGGAAAAAAAAAACCCAATATATAACTACTTTGTTGGAAAAAAAAAGAAGAAAAAAAAAAGATACTAAGGCAAGATAATAAATATATATAATATATACTTATAAGACAATATAAGAATGTTTATATATGTATTGGAGGTTAACTAAATAAATAAGTAGTATGACTTAAGATCTATATAAATTATATAAGTATATAATATAATATAAAAATATAAAACTTAGTCGGTACAATCACTTTAATAGCATATATATATACCTCATCAAAAAACTAATATATATATTCTAAACAATGAGATTTCGGATTGGGGATTAAAATATCATCCCCGCCCCTTCCCGAACACCATATCCAAAAAATTCTCCATACCTCTTTTTTGTCTTTCATATCCAACTCATTAGGGTCGAATCCCCACGAAGACCCTTACCCACGTAGAAAATTGCCATACCTATCCAAGACAGCAAGACAGAAAATAAGCTTACAAAAATCAAATATTGCAAAGAAAATAAGAAAAGAAAGAACGCTAGAGCGAAAACATATTAATTCGACCTCGTGAACTCTGAAATGGTGCTAGATCGATGTATATATTTTATGCTTTACTTTCCAACATGTTCTCAGCAGCGTGTGAGCCCAAGAAATATCAAGAAGAAATAGAGTGAGATATAGGTGGAAATCGGAGAGGAAGCAGTCCGCAATTTTAGGCGCGAAAACCAAACCGTATCCCAGCAGCATGACTCCGTTAACTTCCTGGGCCAGACCCGAAAATCCACTTCTCTAATCCATTTGGTCTTGTTCTGTCTTCTTTCGTGTTTAGGTTGGGCTCCCCTTTGGGCCTTTACATTTGGGTTTTTTTTTAACAAAAAATTACATGGAGAACACCTTTTTTTTTTTTTTTGGGTATAATGGATCAAAATCATAATCTTAGTTAAAAGATTCACGACCTGAATACAATCATGCGATACAAAAAGAGGAAAATAATAGAAACAGATGTAGCAGAAACTTGCTCCTTAGCAACAATGACGTGGATTTGAGGCAGAAAAAAAAAACCAAAATAATTATAAGTGCATAAAAGAGAGGGAAAAAAAAAAAACAGAAGGACAATTGGGCTAAGCCAACATCAGGGCCCATTACACAATAAACCAAATTGAGGTAGACGAATGGAAAACTACTCTCTGGGCCAGTAACCACAATCAGACCATATCATATTCAAGATTCGCAAAATTCGACAACGAAATCAACGATTGACGAAGGCCATTGATGAGGAAACGGCGACAGCCACCGACAATGAGAGAGAAAAATAAGTAGAGAGAGAAACAAACAAGGAGAAAAAGATAAAAAGAGAAAGTGAAAAAAGATAGGAGAGAAAAGAAAAGAGAAACAGATAAAGAGAAAAAATATAGGACAAAAAAGAAAAGAGAGAGAGAGGGGAAGAAGAATAGAGAGGAAATAAAAAAAACTTGAAGACCTTACGCCTTGTTTTTTGTGTTTTTTTTTTGTGTTTTTTTTGTTTTTTCTAGGCTCTGGCGCTCGAGCAGAAGTGCAGGCGCTCAAGCAGATGTAGTAAATTCAGCGCGAATCCTTGGCGTTTTAAAATAGTTTTTCCTATTATTTTTTAGTTTTCTAGCCTAATTTAATAGGATCATAGTTTTCTATTCCTAGTCAACTTGTAGCAAAAGTCCTATGCATTATAAATAGGACTTTTAGGGTTAGGTTAAAAATAGAGATGAAAATTCAAGAGAAAATTTTCAAGAGAGAGACACAAGAGAATTCAAAGGGGAATTCTAGGGTGTTTTTCAAGTGCATCAAGGTTTGAGCAATAGTGAGAGAAAAAGATAGCTAGATTCTTATGATAGCTAACGGGGTTCTTGATTGTAACCAAAGTTATTCTTCCATACTAGTGAATTTCTTGAGTAGATCACCAAGAGGACGAAGGCAGGAGGCCGAACCTCTATAAATCTTTTCTTGTGTGTGTTTGCTTTCTCTCTTTGGTGTGTGTGTTTTATTCTTAAGGGGTGTGTGTGTGCGTCGTCGCATAGTCCATCAACTACAAAGTCTTAGAGTGTTTTCGCACAACAGTGCAGCGTTAGTTCCTAATTGTTTGATTTTAAGAGTTTTTTGTTTTTCTTATTTTAATATGGTGAACAAAAATATTAGTTGTCTTCTTTTTATTGGCTGGGATTATTTGTAAGACTACTTATTAATAGGTGCAAAAATATGAACAGAATTTGCAGTGTAGTTTCCATTTATGTAGAATTGGTTATGCCTCAGTATGAATTCTTACAATTCTCCTTCTAATTGGTACATCTCTGTAAATTTGTTGGTTCTGCATTGCACTTTTGGTTTTTTTTGGTTTTGTTATAACATTCATGTTGCGGACTCATATGTGCTCCATTGCCTTTGGTAGCTTTTTATGTAACTTTCATTTGTGTTGGCTTTTGAATTTTTTTTTTTTTTTTTTTTTGTTACTGACATTTCTTTGGGGTCATTTTTATCTCAAGAAGGAAAGAAAACAAGGTTATCACTAATGTACTGTGTCAATGTAGAAACAATATCTGCAATGCAGTGTATAATATGCATGTCAGATGGAGTGGCAAGATCATAAATGACAATGTTGTGTATATGTTGGATTATTGTTAATTTATAGTTTGTGCAATGTAGTGTGTATCGCGAAATATGATTTAGCAAAATCATTAACCTGCAATGCAGTTTCTAGTGTGTAATTGACATATAGTGTGATTGAGTGTACGTGAAATCCATGTATTTTGTTGCAAGGCATAAAAACCCAAAACAATACAAATGTTAGTCCTTTTTTTTTTTTTTTTTTTGCAATTTATTTTTGTTGTTGTGTTTTTATTATAGTTATAAATGATTGAAGTTTTTGTTTTTGTTTTACTTCATTGATATCTACATTGTTTTGTTTTAGATTTTTTTTTGTTCTACTTCATTGATATCTAGATTGTTTTGTTTTAGAGTAGTAGTTAATTGTTGTTTGTGTATAACTCTAGAGTATGATGGATTCGGTACAAATTGTGAGCGAATCGATGTTGAAATGAATTTTTTTTTTCAAAAAAAACGTTTGATTGTTAATATAAACATTGTGTTACATAATAAATATTGAAAAACAAGGTTTGTGCAGTGGTTTGTGATTGACATTGTATGTAATCTTGAAGTTTTTTTAATTACATTATTATAAAATTATACCCTACTTTTTGGTCATTGTCCTCATCCAGATTAGATGAAATTGGTTTACTATCTGTCACAATATTAAATTCTATAATGACTATAAACCAAAGCTCTTTAATTTTTATGTGAAAATTAAAAAAGAAAATTTTAAAAAGGCCCACAGACTATCTTCTTCTTTTTTTAATCGAACCATCGTCTATCTTCCCATCTTTCCTCCTTATCCTCTTTCTTTTTCTTTTTCTTTTTTCTTTTTCTTTTTCTTTTCTTTACTCACACAAACCAATCACTCTTCCTCCTAAAATCTAACTCTTTGGAATTCAAAAAGTCCCAAAACATAATTCGCTTAAAGTAGAAGTTTAATTGCTTTCCCTTTTTTTTTTTTTTTTTTTTTTTTATCTCTCTGGGTTAATTATCTGTCAAATATGATTTCCTTGAATAATGTTTTTGGTTAGATGCTTGGATAAAGATTAAGATTGTGTAACTCTTTGGAATTCAAATCTAACTCTTTGGAATTCAAAAAAAATACCCTTATTAATCTAATGAGTTTTAATTGTATTAGACTAAGATTGTGGGGAAGAGCGAAAGATTGTCGGGAAGAGGGACATGCCATAAAAGAGAGAAGAAGAGAAGGGTAAGTGAAACGGTGAAAAAGTAGAGTGTTAATCTAATACAATTATGATGAGGTTGAATAATTAATTTTCATTAGATCAATAAAATAGTTAAAATTGTCTTAAATGTGTGTAAATAAACTGATGTTAAATATAGAGACTCCATATATATGCATTGTTCAATTATTTAAAACAAATTCTCACATAAAAGTTAATTAAAATTAACAATACAACAGGTGTACTGATGTGGTGCATTGGTGAGAAAAAATGCTTCCGACTTTTTAAGGGAGAACATTTTTGTTCACCATATTAACCAAAGATATATGCTCACCATTATTTTTAGAGAGTGACATATGTCCAATAATTAACCTTAATTAAATTTTACATGAGAATTAAAAAATACAAATTTATAAATAAACCCAATCCTAGACATGTATTTATAAAAAAACCCAATCACTATTTAAACATAGAAACACACCTAAAATCAACCCCAAAGTCAACTTTTTGGGTGTGTTTATAAATGGGTTTTGAGTGTGTGTAATGATGGGTTTTGGGTGTGTTTATAAAGTGTTTTGGGTGTTGGGTTTTTTTATAATTTCAACCTTCATTTTGGGTGTTTTAGTGAAACTCCTATTAAAAAAATATATATTAAAAAATGGCTCACAACCAAGCACTACTCTGTCCTCAACATATAGTGACCCACAACAGTTAAAGCTACAAGTTAATAATATATTAAAATAATAATAAAAATAATATATTAAACCTGTTGTACCGGTGGATGCATACATGGTCAACATTCTATTTATATGAAGCGCATTAACATTTCTTTCCGATTTGTTTTTAAAATTTCTATTTGGTATATTTCCCAATTATTTATATAAAAGTTGTGTACGTATCTAAACTATAGTGAGATAGTGCACATACTTTCAACTCGTTAAGGTGCTCCACACTTTTCTTTTTGTTTCTTTTTTCTTTGAAGTAAAAGCGATTTGGGTAAGAGGAGTTTATACAAATATTTATGGGGTTTCGAACCTCAACTCACACAGATGGAAGTGGAAGAGCTTAACTAGCTGAGCTATACCCCACTGATACGAGTGATCCACATTTTAAATCAAATATCGTATAATTATATTAGTATTGACTTGGCATAGATTAATTTTTTCGAATTCCTGCTAAAGGAATCCTAAAATTAATTGAGTACATTTTATGAATTTTATTTTATTTTTTTAGTGAGAAATTCTATGATTGCATTCATAATTCAGCCAAAAAAGTCATTAGTCACTAAAAGTGGGCGCGATCTAGTTTGGTTCGATTTCCACCTCAAATCGAAATTGGAATTGGTACTATTTAACTTGCTGGTTCAATCTGATTTTAGTAATAATAAAAAATTATGAAACCGACTGGTCTAGTTTGTATCGATTTCGGTCTGATTTTTCGGTTTTTTCAGTTTTGGACAGAATTATTATTATTATTATTTTCAAATTATTATTTTATAAAAATTCAAACTAAAATTTTATTTTTTGGGATTGAAAATTAACAAATGATCCAATTTCATACAAAGAGAAATATTGGGCTTAGAAAATAGAGATGTTTAAAAGTTGGGCTTGAGGAAGTATTAGTTATAAGATTAAAAATATAGCATTCAATTTAAATAATTTTGTAAAAAAAATGAAATTATACACAACTGATTTGGTCTGATCCGGTTTGGTAAGGTGTGAAATTGGAATCGAAATTAAGACAATTTAGTGCACCTCCATAATATTTTAATCAAAATGTAAAATTAACTAAGTACACCCTATTTAACTACCAAAAATACCTATAGTATACTATAATATACTCTATCACACAACACCCTAATACAAATCTTAAACTAAGTTTCTTTTTTTACATGTTTTAAGCAACTCTTTATTCTTAATATTACATCCTTTCCCCGCTTGTTCTAGTTTTTTTTTTTTTTGAGTCTTTTCTAGGCTGCATCACTAGTTCTCATTTTCCATTTT